AGTGCTGCTAGACATACCACATATTGGCCCGTAGCTTATGCTCTTATCAAGTGGTTTGACTTTGTCTACAGCAAAAATGCTAGTGCTGCAATATTAGCTCTCGTTCAAACTACCAAACAATGGCAAGGGGACATGTCACCAGTTGTACAACAAATAGAAATTGTAATGTGTCTACAGGCCACTCTATATATTTTCTACTTTACACAATCCTCTTAGAATATGTTCTTGCTTTCACTTTTGTAAAGCAGTAATACACATTCCAGAAATATCAGGCAAAGATTATTACTCAGTATATAGAGGCCTACTGGTTTGAAAAGCCTTAGATTGACTAAGATTTAAACATAAAATTCATCGTGGTTTAAAGTTGAGGCTTAATTTGTAACATTTGCAATGTATTTACTTGAGGATGAACTTAAGCAATAATCACACATGGATCATTTGTGGTTTTATGTTGATGATAATCGCTTTTGACCCAGGCTAAGGTCTAGTACAGGGGTCGGCAACCTGCGGCTCCGGAGCCGCATGCGGCTCTTTTGAACCTTGACCGCGGCTCCGGGCGGATGCTAGCGAGGGGAGGAGGCGCACTGTGACACCTGCTCTGGCGTTGCCGCTGCTGACAGGTCGCCGCTCCGCTCCACACTGCCCGCCCGGTGACAGGCAATAACGTTGCCGTTGCTAGGTAACGCGAAACATGGCTGCCTCCATCAGCTCCGCTCCTCATGGACAGAATCATTCGCATTCTCTACTGACGAGACTGGTTTAGCAGTATGCTTAATATGTGGTGAGAAATTTGCAAACAACAAAAAGTCGAATATTGCAAGACATTTCCAGAATAAACACACAGCCTTTGCTGAAAAATATCCAGATGGAGATGAGAGACGAAAAGCCATTGCAGAACTTATGAGGAAGGTTAATATGAGCAAAAATAATTTCAAGAAGTGGGTGAAGACTGAAAATTCCACAACATATGCTAGTTTTGTGGCCGCTCAGGAAATAGTCAAGCACGGGAAGCCCTTCACAGATGGAGAGTATATAAAAGAAGCATTCATTAATATTTCGGAACATCTATACATGGACTTCAAAAACAAGAATGAAATTGTGCAGAAAATCAAAGACATGCCTCTCTCTGCGAAGACTGTCAAAGACAGAACCCTAAAAATGGCAGAAAACATTAGCAAACAGCAAATTCAAGACATTAATTCAGCTGTGGCGTACTCCATCGCCTGTGATGAGTCCAAAGATAAAGGTGATATTAAACAAATAGCGCTGCTCTGCCGATATGTGAACTCTTTTGGGCCACAGGAAGAACTGATTGAGCTGATACCACTAAAAAACCAAACAAGGGGTGAGGATATCTGTAAGGCTGTCCTGGACTTTTTAAGTGCTAAAAAAATAAACACCAACCACCTGGTCTCAGTGGCTACTGATGGGGCACCGAGCATGAGAGGAGCACAGAAGGGCTTTGTGGCTCTACTGCAGAAGGCGCTGGGTAGAACGCTGCTGTCATTTCATTGCATCCTGCACCAAGAGGCATTGTGTGCTCAAACATTTCCCCCGGAATGCACAAAAGTGATGGATGTGGTCATTCAGATTGTTAATAAGATAATGGCAAAGGGTTTAAACCACCGCCAGTTCCGTTTGCTATTGGATGAGGTGGAAAGCATATATTCTGACCTCCTGCTCCACAACAAGGTCCGGTGGCTGTCCAGAGGCGAGGTGCTAAAACGCTTTGTCACATGTTTGGAAGAAGTAAAAACCTTCCTGGGCAGCAAAGAGCTCACCTTTGCTGAGCTGGAACAGCCAGAGTGGCTGGAAAAATTACATTTTATGGTAGACATGACAGCACATCTAAACACGCTAAATACAACCCTTCAGGGGAAAGGAGGCACAGCCCTGCACATGCTGGAGGAGGTTTTGGCATTCGAGCGCAAGTTGACAGTGTTTGTCAAAGATTTACACTTTCCCTCTTTGAGAGAGTTCAAACAAAGTCATGATACGATAAATTTGGAATATTTCAAGTCTGCAATCACCACAATGCAAAGTTCGTTTGGGAAACGATTCTGTGAGTTCAGAGAGGAAAAAACGACATTATCCTTCCCTGTCACTCCCCTGGCGATCGATCCATCCCTATTGAATATGACTGCATTTGCAGGTGTAAGTCAACCTGATCTTGAGATGGAACTGGCCGATATAGCCGACAAAGATATATGGGTGTCCAAGTTCAAATGCTTGACCGCTACTCTTGAGGATGTTGCCCGTCAGAAGGCCATTCTGGCTCAGAAACCTTCCCAAACAGGACAAACTTGTATTCGAAACATGGAATGCCATCCCCAACACTTATATAAACATGAAAAAGTATGCATTTGGAGTCCTGTCGATCTTCGGCTCCACATATGTATGTGAGCAGGTCTTCTCCAACATGAACTATATTAAAAACAAACATCGATCACGCCTCACAGATGACAGCTTGCAAGCCTGTGTGAAAATGAAGGTGACGTCTTACAGCCCTGATGTGCAGACACTGTGCACTGAGGTTCAGGAGCAAAAATCCCATTAACCAGGTAATTTAGCTATTAATTTGCAAAAATATATTTTACATTGTTAAGTGAAAAAGTCCTTTTTTTATTCAGATTGACAGCTGACTGCACGATCCTGTATATAGCAATAAGGTAAGAAACAATATATGCAGTGTTATATTTGTTTTAAATGTCGCAATGGTTTTGCGGCTCCCAGTTTATTTTTTCCTTCGGAAACGGGTCCAAGTGGCTCTTTATGTCTTAAAGGTTGCAGACCCGTGGTCTAGTACCAAAACATCCCTATTGTGGTTTTTATAAGGTCAGTACAGGGAATTGCCTTTAAATCTAAGAGGCTTCGATTGCCATAGGATCCAACATTGCGGAGGTCAAAACCAAGTATCCATATGTTTCCTAGTGAGTTCGCAATGCTAAGTTGGCATCACTCCCACTGCACCAGACAATCAGCTGCAACAGTTCAGCTAATCACCTGCAAGGTGATTCAGTTTTGTTGGTCAAATGTTGCGAAGGTTCCTCTTCTCCTACCAAGGGGCCGTCCATAAATGACGTCACGCGATTTTGGACGATTTTTGACACCCCCCCCCCTCTTCGTCATGCTTCAAATCGCTTTAAATTATTGTCATTGTAGTGCGTATTTAATGTGCCGCTGCATCTCTGATGGTGTATGCGAAAACATTTATTAAAAAATCTATTAATTAAGTAGAACTGTGTTGTCTATATTTATTTAAATTTGCGTATTTTGATGTGACGTCACATTTCTCAAACTCCCCCCCCCCCCCCTCGTCACAAATGTCTGACCCCCCCCCCAGGTGCGTGACGTCATTTATGGACGGCCCCCAAGGAGAAGGGTGGCTTTGCAGCATTCATGCTTTCAATGACCTTTGCCTTAAGAAAAAAAGTAATGAGTGTGATTTTGCGTGCATTTGATTGTGCGAGTATATGATCATGCATGCGCGTAATGGTTCTAGTGTGGTTCTTTGCATGGGGATGTCTTTATGTGGGTGTGAGAGTTTTTTTGTACGTGTGTGGAGCGGTTAGCGCGCTGTGCTACGAACCCGGCGGTTCGAGTTCGATTCCCGTTCATGACCAATAAGAGTATGCGAATATTTGAACCAGTCCTCGGGCTCCCCTAGGTCGACTCAGACTCAAATGAGTACCTGGTGTGGTGTGTAAGGATCACTACTTGGGAGACAACAGTGGACGGGCGTGGTGCTGCTGGCCACCGACCCCATTGTGTACCGTTCTGGCCTTAATAGGTGCTCGCTAACATAATTTGCTCCAAAAGTCTGTTAAAGGCTTTTGTCTGTACTCGTGTCATCAGTGATGACGACCGCTTGTGTTGCGATCGAAACGTCGCGAGTTTTTTTTTATTATCTACGTGACTTTACCGAAATAACCAAAGAATATGAATTCATGCAGTCACAAAAGTTTAAAGTGAAAATGTGCTCGGAGTATTTGGCTGCTATGAATTTTCACGTGATGAGTCACTTCGTTGAGCAATCATTTGTGGCCAGGTCGCTTCTGGAAAAGAGCTATACAGCTCAGTAGGGCCTTGCCTGGTAAAATAAAAATAAATAGTTTTAGAAGTAGTTTTTAGTTTTATACAGTACCATTTATTTTGTATTAATCCCGTAAGGAGTTATAGGACAAGTTTTAGCTTACACAACGTCTAGAATTGCATAAGTCATGTTGTACTAAGATCTGTTAATAAACATTAAATAAGTTATTTTTAACAGTACTCTCTTCATTGTTCAGCCAGCATTGGTATAAACATGGACATTTTCGTTATTTTGTCTTTCATGTGTATCAGGCCTCCCCTCCCCCTCTCTGCCCAATGTGTTGAGCACTCCGTGCTGTCTTTGAGCCCCGCCCCCCTCTCTCCCGATACGTTTCCATTCATTGGCTACCACATTCTGATGAGCCCCCCCCTCTCCTCCCCCCCTTCAACTTGCTTATAAGGGATTACATCTTGAATCATTGCCTCACTTGATGCAGCTAATCTGGCTGTGACGGTCCCACCTGATGACAGAGACTTGTGTTGCCTCCGAAACGTCGTGATTTTTGTTTTATTTTATTTTATTTTCATTAATTTTGATGTTTTACCTACGTGACTTTACCCAAAAAACCTAAGAATATTAAATAAGCATTCTTCACCCTGTCATCTTTGAAAACTCTGACTTTGAATCAGGGTTTTGTATTGATTCACAATTTAAAGTGACTTTAACATGTAGGCTCTCGTGACCAATGTTACCCATAAGAAAGGTTTTTGGGTTAGATCGCGTAAATATAAATGTATCATTAAACCCGCTACGAGCCGATATAGCCATTTTGTTTACGTGACAAACCTTACTAGGTGGTTTTGTCGGGTGGTGGCGGGTTAAACGACACATTTATATTTACGCGATCTAACCAAAAACACATTTGTTATGGATAATACAGAGTTACTACATTAATTATTCATAAACACCAGTGTACTTATCTTTACAGAACATATAGAGAAGCATACGTACAAATAATGAAACCCTTTGATATGATATCTGATAAACAATCGATTATATATAACCCCGGTTTGTGATATGTTGCGCAACTCGCAAGGCCGCCTAACACCACAAAGATATTTACGTGTGAAGACGAAGACAATCGCTACCGCTCGTAAGTGCAACACAAAGCTCACAGTAAAGTACTTCATCGCTAGAGTCAACACTGCGCTCTATCTCATTGCAGATGGTGCTTCGAGCGAGGGGGGGACCCTTTCACCTGGCCCGGATGTCTCAGGTTTGGTGCCTCGTTGGTCACGTGGGTCACTGTGCGCCTGCGAGTGAGCCCTGTTCACGAGGTAGAGCGCCGGATTGAAGCAGCAGTTGAAGCTCGCCAGGCACATCATGATGTCATGGATTCGCTCGTTCCCGCAGATCGTGAACCCCCAGAAGACGATCTTGTTGATGTGGTATGGCAAGTGGCAGATGGTGAAGATGATGGATACCAGCGAGATGGTGCGGACCGCCCTGCTCCGTTGAAACCTGGTCTCCTCCTGCATGGCGATGGCGCCAGACATAGATTTCCTCAGCGCGTGTATCATGCAGGAGTTGAAGACCATGATGGTGAAGAAAGGAACCATGAAGCCTAAGGTGATGACGGTAATGCCGTACGCCGTGACAGTTGAGTCAAACATGACGAGACTGTAACACCTGGTCAGGTTGGTGTTGACATCGCTGTACGTCCCTGCGAAATGAACAAAGGGCAGCGTTTCCATCAGAGTGATGGCCCACACGAGCACGCAGAGGACCGCGGCCACTCTGAGCGTCTGCCACTGCCGCGAGGCGATGGGATGACAGATGCCGAGGTAGCGGTACAGGCTTATGGCGGTCAGGAACAAGATGCTGCCGTACATGTTGAAGGAGAACATGAACCTCACGAGGCGGCACATCGTGTCTCCAAATACCCAGCTGTTGTTGACGATGAAGCTGTAGATCATGAGAATTAGGGACACGGCAAAGAAGAAGTCGGTCGTGGCCAGGTTGAGCATGAAGAGTGAGCTCGGGTTCCATTTCTTATCCTTGAAGAAAAGGCTCCAGAACACGAACGTGTTGAGAGTAAGTCCAAGCAGCACACAGATGGAGTAGAAGAATGGAAGTAGGGTTGATCGATAGGTGAAGCTTGTTACGCATGCGGTCTCATTCACAGAGCCCTGTGAAAGAACCATTATTGTCTTGCTGCTCGGCATGGCAGAGTAGAAACCTGAGAGCTCCACTGTTTCAAATCGCTCAAATGACGGTTGAAGCTCTTGCATGCTACTGGGCTACCTCTGAAAGAAAATAAATTGCAAGTGATAACACAGTTAAATACAAGTCGCTGCAGTAAAGTTACAATGTTGCAACATGGTTCCAAAGTCAGATTCATTAGATAAACAATTCAAAGCATGTACGCACTTAACCGAGCGTTGGGCAGTGTTCAGTGTCATATATTGCCCTGCTGATCTGGACAGACCACGTAGTGCTCAATTTATTTCCCATATAGGGATGATGATGATGATGGGTCGATACCCAAATAGGATTTCATCTCACAAACTTTTAATTGTGAGGTGCATGCGGTGACCACGTTTGCTGAATGGATAATACTTCACGAGCCGACACAGTGGATGGTTTCCTTGCCTCAGCTCTCTGTGGATACATTACCAAAGCCTCCCACGATATGGATGTTAAAGGCTTTTTTACTATACTCGACTTAATTAAAAAAAACCTTTGCTAGCGCCGTCTGCCAACATTTCAAATTTCAAAATAGTAATAACCATTCCTAGGTTTCACACTCTTGATCTACCCACATGTGAGAAAATTCTATGTAATGAAACTTATTTGGTTGTCATCTCGTTAAGAAAACGACATCAATTGATTATAATACCAAGAAGACCACAATTACCAAGGAGACCACAGCACTCTGTTAAAAGTGCACGTTAAAAATATATTTATTATTTGTTATTAATTATATTGTTTACAGGAAGGTCATGTTGGCACAATTTTCAGGTTTTTAGCTTCAATTAAAAGAAAACCTCAAGATAACGTAAGGCATTATACCTTATGCGCTTGTGCGTGCAAGTAAAATCAAATGAAATATGGAAAATCTCTCCCTGCTAAAAAAATAACAATTAAAAATTCCATTAATTTACCCAGAAAAGCCACGCTGATTCTCCAAAAGTTTTTTTTTTTTCAGGAGGGCCCTGAATTTCGATGGTTGTAGTATTTGGCTTTGCGTGGGAGAACACTAAATAACCCAGAGGAAACCCAAGGAGGTGATGGGGGCAACACTCAAAGCCCCACACAGATTCAAGAATCAATTTCCATATGCCAATTTCTGGTCACATCGCAGCACAAGTCAGATGGTCATTTAATTACTAAACAAGTTCAACTCTGCATAGCTTCCGAGATCTCGGGTGGTTGTGTCATCAAATAAGCACCAGTGGGCTTTAAGCTAGCAGCGGAATTGCCAAAATGCTATGGCAGCTACTAATCTATCTATAAGTCAACTACTCCCAGCATCCCACAAAGTGATATGTATTTTATTGACCCTGATATGATTATAGGCTGAGAACCCCTTGACTGGGCTTTAGACTGGCGATTGTGAGCCAACAGCTCTCAGAATGTTGCCACCCAGCCATATTGAATGCTTAAATGACTGTAGTTGTTGGTATTATACAACACACATCTCAATGTACTTAGCGATTGATAAGTACTATATACAGTTCATACGTTAAAATTGACCCGCGTGTAAAACGTACCTTAATCTAGACCGGCACCTGTCCCAATCACACGCTTAATTCGTCCCGGGCGCTACGCTTGTTCGTGAACACTGCAGGCGGCTAAGAATGATCCAGGCATGGTGCTTTCCATCCAAGAATTATAGACACCGACCTCCAGCTACAAACTAACACAACAAAGGCTAAATTAGACTGATTTACACCTGTTCAGATGGGTGTCCCCCCCCTTCCTTGTTGCACAGAGGCTCCAGTTCTTTGGAGACCGGTTTGATGCAGTTATTGACAGAACCACTGGCTGGAAACTCCCAGTTTAGGTTTACTGCCAATTAGGCTTTGATCTGCTGCTGCCATGTAAAAATGTGCATTCTGCAAATGGTGACTTCACGAAGCAAGCGAAGTCGTTCGTTTGAAATTCCACATGAAAGCACATCTTGCTGATCAGCACAACGTTTCAGAATTGTTGGGCATGTTTTCTTTTAAATAAAAATGTTTATAAAGTGCAATGCATTCACATTTTATGACCTTACATTCAACATGAGCTACTCAGGTCTCTATGTGACTCACAGCTGTGCTCACTGCAAAACTACTGTAGTGGCAAAAATGTATTCTGTAAAGTGGTTCTGATGAAATTGATGTTTCCACAAGCTACCTCCCAGCTCTGTACCAACGACTGGACCAATTCATTCAACTACATTTATAATTATTTTCGTCCCTTCCCAATCCGCTGCTGGATGAATACCTCCCCACACCGTGTCCGCCACGAGCAAATTGTGACGGGTGGAAACATATCCCGACCCTGGATGTTCGTGAAATATCCCACGAATGCATCTGTGGCCGTATTGTGACTTGGTGGCCCCTTACCATAGATCCGTGGTATTTCCTCCACTGGCGCTGAGCCCACGGTGGAAATGAGTACTTCATCCTTGCTAGTTTTAGCAGGGAGGCACTTTGACTTTAGTGCCGTGGCGCAGCCAATAAAAACATCTCTTTACGAGAATGTTTTATGGACCAATCCCGTGGCTTTTGCTCGAGAATGGATCAGGATGCTTTGCTGATGAAAATTTCAACGTCAGGTTTATCTTCTTGGTTCTTTCGGTAAAGTCACGTAAGAACCAAGAAGATTAATCCCTGCAGTTACGAAAGCTTTAAATCGTCAGGTTTATGTTGAGTAAACGTAGTACACTGTCATTATGTGTATATAGCACGTTACTTACAAGAGTTAAATAAAGATTCGTAGTTTGTCGGGGCAATTGCTGTGATCGAGGATGTGTTGAAGCTGGAATGTCTTACGAAGAGATGGTGTGGTCAGAGCCATGCCCAACTGCCGTTGTCTCCCCGTTACTAATGTTTACACGCATCACGAGGTGCTCGTTTAAAGCCGGGGCTGAGTTCAACGAAGGAGAAGCCTCGGGCTGACTGGTTCATATGCCACTTGCCATGAATCGAAACTCATTGCACTAACTACTGCAAAAGACAAAGATCCCCCGTATAGCCTTAACAGACTGTTGGAGCAAGTACTCTTTGATTTTTTCGGTAAAGTCACGTAAGTAAAAAATTAAAATAAATTAAATCACGACGTTTCGGGCGCAACACAAGCGTCCTTTTTCAGGTGGGGACAACGTAGCGAAAGCACAACCGCTTAAGTGTGACTTTACAAAAAAAAACAAAGAGTATGAATCTTTGCAGTCAGGAAAATTTCAAATGTTGACTGTTGGAGAAATTGCTTATAGTGAGCACCTTTGACGGCTGGCGTGGTACACGAGGGGGTGGGTGGCCAGCACCACGCCCGACCGCCTTTGTCTCCCCAGTGGCGATGATTTTACACACCAGGTACTCATTTGAGGCTGAGTCGACCTAGGGGAGGCCCAGGACCGGTTCAGAAAATCGTCACTGGTGTTAGCCGTAACACACACACACTTGCACGTGTATGTACGTGTGTTGCATTCCTTTCGCAATTCCCATCTGGATATATTGCACTGGTTAGGCAAGCGCTGGCTTGGTGCTGCTGGTAATATAAAAGACTTCTTCCACAGAAATTCCTCATCTGATTTCTACCGCGGTGCACAGCTAATTAGAAGTTGACAGTTTGTAAATATCCTTGCAGGGAGACCGCTCATATGAGTCTTGCTGGCTCGTTATGTTTTAAAATGAAACACTATTTATGAAATATTTATTTTTGAAATCACCACAGTGCTGTACATGTTAAAAGCTCGTATTTTTTTTAAAGGCATGAATTTATAAGACCGTAGTATGCCACTGGATTGCTGCCATATCGAAGTTTAAAGTTTCATTTATTAGGTATAGCCCTGCGAGCCATTCGGCTCTTGAATCGGGTGCAACCGCAACAAACAAAAAAACAAAAACATGAACAAGAAAACATCTTAAAGTGACTATGTGCAAACAGAAAAGCCAAGAAAAGCCAGCAAAATATTGCAGAAAAAGCACCGTACACCAACTATGTGTGCAAATATCCCAGTGGGATGCAAGTCAAACAACAACAACAACAACCACAAGACAACTTAGATTAAGGCCATCAGTCTAGAAATGTACTACAACAAACAAACATGGCCAAACCGAAAAACTTTTCAAAAATCACCAAAATAAAGCCATAAAAGCAATGAAACAGTGGTCATAGGAACTGTGACCGAATTTTCACAATAAACGACGTAAACAACATGTACTACCAAACTCTGCAGCCATAGCTGGCTGCATGAGTCACTCCACAAAAGAATGGTTAACACACTGTATAAAGTGGGGATACCCACGTTTCAACTCACCGCGCACAACCTGCAATTAGACTGTCACGTACCCGTATATATTGCTGGGGATTTTAGAAACTTGCACCGTCGCATTAACTGCCACGCTTGGGAATCGCACCGGCCACTGGGTAAAGTGTGGGTACGCCTACCTTCTACAAAATATCTGCGCAGAGTGGAAGAGTAGGCCAGACACCCCCTACAGCGATCCATACTCTTTGGTTCTTTTGGTAAAGTCACGTGGGTATAAAATAAAATGAATCACTACGTTTCGGGCGCAACACAAGCGTCCGTCATCAGGTGCTTGTGTTGTGCCCGAAACGTCGTGATTCATTTTATTTCATTTTCTACCTACGTGACTTTACCGAAAGAACCAAAGAGTATGGATTCCTGCAGTCACGAAAGCTTCAAATCAAGATTACCCCCTGCAGGGTTTCTCTAGAACTCCCTCGAGTGGGAAGCCCTTAGGCTAGTAGTGGCGCGAGCGAGTAATACAACGGCAGCTGCTGAACAAGGGGATGGCCTGAATCAACAATATCTCAGCAGAATAATTCGTGTCATTTTGGAAAGTATATATTTTAAATCAGATTTGTGTTTTATATGATTGTACCAAACCAACACCCCATCGTGTAAAGAAAGGGTCCTTGCCTGTGTAATGCGAGCGTAAGCGAGGTTTCGCCGCTCAGCTCTGGGCCAATCAGACGGCCCGGAGTATTGGGGGCGGGGTCCAGTAATGTGGGCGTATGGGAAGGTCCGCCGCCCACCTCTGGTCCAATCGGATGCCCGGAAGATCAGGGGCGGAGCCTAAGGGCGGAGCCGGAGGGGCGCGAAGCGAAGGGCGTGATCTGGAAGGTTCGGAAAGGGCGTGGTAGAAGGTGAAGACAGGATGACGTGTGAGGGGGATATAAGGGGGATCCGGAAGAGACTCGTGATCAGTTGGCGTAGTGTCGGAGTGGGACCACGTTGGGTCGTGGGACACCTCCTGCGCCATCAGCCACGTGGCTGGAGACGACTCCAAGCACACCGTCAGCCAGCGGTGTGCGCGAGCAGAGGGGAGTGCGACTGACGGGAAGAGCGCACGGGGCGCGCAAGCGGAAAGCCGGTCCACTGTCGGGATTGGCGGGGTGTGAGCGGCATAACAGAAATAAAGACAGATGGAGACCAAGCTGTGTGTCGTCAACATCCATTATTACACCTGTACAATTGGCAATTCTCCAGTATTCATCCGAGCAAGCCTGGCTCTGTTAAGGAGACACTGCGTGCAGAGTTTTCTTGTCTTGAAACAATGACTGCTGAAATTATGCTCTGCCTGGTGGCTTTGCGGCTGATGGGTTGTGGTAAAAAATGTATTTATGTTGTGTGGTGACAGATATATTAAGTAGATTGTTGTCTGCGTTTTGTTTTCATTAAGCAACACTGGGGGATAGAGTGTACCAGGTTTGATAGCGACCTTTGAATAGCAATGGAATCAAGCAAAATAAAGGAAGTAATGGCAAGATGTGGTGGCACCAATGGCACTGGTGCTGACGACCTCTTCACTTTGAGAATACCTTTGTAGTGGGTTCGATTTAGGCGCACACTAGAACTGGAGGCAACACGTTTATTAACTAACACAACAGGTAACTCTTAACGTTAACAGGATAACGACATAGGGTGGTAACCACCGCTCCTAACTTAGCTAACACACGGGGGATACTATATTACCGGACCAGGGCAGCTCAACTCGCTGCCTGGTCCACTAGCGGAGACCAGAGACCGAGAATCGTAGATGGCGGTTTCATTCCCAAAGTTGACCCACCAGTTCTAGATTTGAGGCTTTCGTGACTGCAAGGATTCATATTCTTAGGTTTTTTCGGTAAAGTCACGTAGGTAAAAAATTTAAATTAATAAAAGTAAAATAAAAAATAAAATAAAAATCACGACGTTTCGGAGGCAACACAAGCTTCCGTCTTCAGGTGGAACCGTCACAGCACGATAGCTGTATCAAGTGTTATTATATTTCAAACCAGGTCTCCATTGAAATACAAAACCTTAACTTTTTTTGACGTGAGAACGTCACCGATATGGTCTCAAACGCCTGTGATTAAATTACCTTCATTGTGCCCAATATTGTCAGACTTAGACTAATGTCCAAAACATTGCCTGTTATATCACTTGATACAGCTATCGTGCTGTGACAGTTCCACCTGAAGACGGAAGCTTGTGTTGCCTCCGAAACGTCGTGATTTTTATTTTATTTTTATTTTACTTTTATTAATTAAATTGTTTTACCTACGTGACTTTACCGAAAAAACCTAAGAATATTGACCCACCAGAACAGCCACGCTCCCTCCAGGGGTGGCCGGCTCCGCCCTTTGCCACGTCCCCTTCCAGATCCTTCGGGAGGGACCCTGAGTCCACATCACGTGACCCTCACACCTCCATC